CCCCCCCGAGAACATCACTACTGGAATTCTGACGTCTCTTAGCAGATGTTTTTTCTTACAAAATTTGTGAATTAAAAAAATTAGTCTCTGTGCCAACATTTGAGTATTGTCCAAGTGTTTTATGACATCAGAAAACTGTTCCTGCTTTGCTTGCAAGCTCTTATCCATAAGAACAGCATGGGAAATTTCCACTCTCTGGATTTTACCTAGGGTTTTTAGTGTATAATAGCACTGTAATGAATACAACGTTTGGAATTGCATCATTTTTTCTATATGCTCTACAGTCTCAATTTGATGCATGACTGGTCGTTTTTCTGGCTGAATTGCAAAAATAGAATCCGTGCAGTCTGATTTTTCTCCTTGTATCTTGCTTATGTGCATCTATGATGGAGATTCTGAGCTTAGTGACACTGTTTGCCACTGATACATATGTAAGAGGCAGTGTAATGATACAGTCCATTAGTCTGTTTCTTTAGATACTGTAGAAAAGTAAATGCCTTATTAAAAAAAAAAAATCTCATCTGATGAAACACATAGTCCGTATCCAGAAATCTCCTGATCTGAGAAGGAAAAATCCACATTAAAAAATCTAGATTCTTTACAAAGCCAGTAAGTCACTTTGTCATTCAGTGTTCGACATCTGATTCATCTTGTATTCAGCTCTGTTGATCAGAGAGCAAATCTGTCGGTGTTCTGCTTTCCTTCTCATGGGTGGGAAAACTCTTGTAGTTTCAGTTAAACTTTTCACTACTTGGTTTTACAGAAGGTATTTTTACTGTCTGTTCCCAACTGTAGTACTGCTCTTGCACAGATGGAATGCCAGGGTAAAACAAGAAATAATAAGCAACAGTTCATTCTGACAATGTTTATAAAATAAAGCTTTAGAAAAGGCTGTTCAAGTGTTTGGATTTTATGGATAACACATGCATTCTTTGATGCATGAGAGTTAAACCAAAAGCCGTATTCAACAAAAATGTTTGTATTCCAATCTATTACTATGTGCCAAATTGATCTTAAGGAGGGAGAACTTTGAATAGCGAACATTCTTTAATAGCCTTCTTTATACTCCTTTTTTTTTTAATGTGTCTGTATGTATACACTAATGTTGAAATTATTTTTCCATGTTGTATTCCTGTCTATTAAATGGAAAACTCTAGTTATGTTTTACTGTTGAACAACCCATCCTATTTTTTGCTGTTTTTTTTAAAGTAACACTATAGCATTTATTTGGGAGGGAGGGGGCGAGGACATGAGTGTGAAAGTATATTGGGTATGCTTATGTGAAGAGCTGCATCTCAGCGAACGTAAACCAGCCCTGACAGTCGTCTTTCTGACTTTGGGGCGGACAGAGTTTTCATTACATTTTCCCTTGTTCCTGCATTTCACTTTACATTGTTAAGTAATCTTTCTTTATCGCTAACCCTTGGGCTCAGCCAGGAAATATTGTTGTGCCATGCTTTTTTTCCACACCTCTCTCCACTTCTTCTTTGCTAGCCTTCTCCAGTCAGTAACTCTGTGGCTAACCTCCTTCTGCTTCACCTCCTGGTGCCAGTCATGGCTTAGAAGCCTCTTGCCTTCCGCCAGTGGTGTTTGAGGGAAATATTGGCATCGCTTTGACATAAGCCTTCTCCCACGAGTGATTTCCTCCCTTTCCTTTGTCAACAGAAGAATGGTTTATTATTGCCAGTTTTGGCCTCCTCAGTGCCCTTACACTCTGCTACATGATCATCAAAGCCACAGCTAGCTTGAATGCTAATGAGTAAGTAAATATTCAGATGTTTTTATATATTTCTGGTGGGTGTGTGTCCTGGACAACATTGGGAACGAATGCTGAGAGAATAGAGAAGGGGGAAAATGCCATTTTCAAGCTGTCAAATGCCTTTTCTGCTTTTCTCAAACGTAAGCCTCTCTGTTAACAGTAGGTTCCAGGCTAACATCTAAAGTCCCTCTTAATTTATATTTAGCCGGATTGTCTGAGGAAACTTCCTTGCCAAGTGGAGATATGGAAAGGGGAAAAGAGAATATTTATATTCATGTTTTGGTCAATGGTCTATGTAAACATTAGATTTCTGCCATTAAATCCCCATGTTCAAAATACACCTGGCAGAGCCAGAAATTACTACCATCAGTTACCTTTGACAGCTTTCACCTCAATTTCTTAGTGAACTTCATATTAAAAAAAAAATATAAATTTGTATTACTAGTTGGCATGCTTTCAGCTAAGAAAAAAAGGTTTTTAAATAGAAAACTACGCTTTCACTCTTTGGAGAGAGACGAAAGCAATGAATACACTACTTTTTCTCTTCTCTTAAGTGAAGAGAGCAGACCAGTCTTCTGAGCTCTCATTTTGGTATGCTTAAGAATTGCAGCCAGAGGAGTGTTTAAAGACATCCATGCTTTCTTAATTTTTATAGACACCCCCAATGCCTACCTTCAGGCAGGCTGGGCAAGAAATGAGTCTAGCACATGACTTTGTCTTTTTTCATAGTTCTGTGTGTGGGCAAGTATAAATCCGTTGTGCAGATACATTAACTAGGTATATCTAGCTATCTTCCCTTTAGGTGTACGGAACATCTGGGCTCATGATATATATTTAATCATAATTTATGTATTTGGGGAGGGAATACGTCAACATCTTTCTTTGCCTCTGATCATCTTGACACAGCTGAGTGTCCATTAAATGTGTTGATCACTTACCAAAAGTGGGGTCTCCTGTGCAGCCTGGAAATGGAGCTTTATAAATATAACTCTCCCCCCCCCCCCCCCTTTTTTTTTTTTTTTTTTTTTTTTTTTTTTTTTTTAAGAATTTTTTTTAAAATAAATTACTCCCCCCCCCCCCCCCTTTTTTTTTTTTTTTTTTTTTTTTTTGTTTTGAGATAAGAGAAAGAAGCCCTCTGACTTTTACTGCTATCTGGAAAGTATAAGGTGTCCTTCTCAATAAGATGGAAATATGGCTAATAGTCACCAGTGTAAAATTTTAGACACCTTCAAGTGAATCTTCTTCAGGAGGGGCTCTAATAACTTCTTGGAGGTTTTGGTCATCAGGAACCTTCGGTTACCACTAATGTGCAAATCTTCCTTTCCTCCTCTTTTCAGATGCTAATTCCAAAAGGGCTTAATGAAGAAAAGTTTTAGAACTTCGAATAGCCCTATCAAGTCTCCTGATTATTAATCTTTTTTTTTTTTTTTTTTTTCTCCCTATTTGTCAAAATCTTAACGTTGCAACTGTCAATCGGCAACTTGGCAACATAGCTGTAGCTGAACATAGTTAATCTGCACTGAAACATAGCTTGGGAAAGCATGGAGCCAGATGAGTTGTGAAACGGGAATGTCTGCATTTCTGGGCATTTCCACATCATTAGGAAGACGACAAAGGAACTGTAGCCCATGTGGTATCATCCAGATGTGGGCACTGATAGCAGTTGCATTTCTGCCTTGCCCTGCAACTCTTCTTTCTGTTGTTTTTTTTTTTTTGCTCAGTTGGATCTGGGTCTATTTTTACTGAAGGGACAAGCTTCTTCACATTGGCAGACAGTTTGGGCCTCCAGAGAAGTGTTTTCACAGTGATGTTCCCTCAGTACAAACAAAGGGCGTGCTGATGTAAGGAGAGCTCCTTTCCCCAGTGACAGGAATGAAAATCTGAACATATATAAGCATACACTTTGAGGCAGACTTAAGAAAACTAGCAACCGCGGAAACCAGAGCTGTCAAAAATTGCAGACTTAGGTAACTGAGGTACCTAGCTGTAGCCTTTAACCTCAACAGCTTTTCAGCTGAATCCTTTGGGATCTAAGCAGCCTCCACAAGTGCTGCTGGGTTCGACTAATTTTAGACAGTTTAAAATGTGTATGTATGACATTGATTCTGAGATTTATTGTTTCATTGACACCTTATGTTCCCCAGTGCCAGACAAAGCATTTCCTCTGCTGAATATCATGCCAAATACATGGCAGCTCCCTCTCACGGTGATTTCCATTAAATGTCATAACAGCATACCTGATTTTTATGCTGTTCTCCATATAAAAAGCAATGCTGGCATACGCTGCATTTGTGACAGTTGTGTTTCAAGAGGAAGCTGAGGGTTTTTTCTTATCAGAAAACAACAGTAGCAAGAATAAGGCCACATAATATGCTGATGCAAGTAAAAGGTGCCAAATATTCTGCATTAAAACTCACCTAAAAACAGGTCCTGATCCTTTTTATTTCCTATGTCCTTCCCACAGCTTAAACATATTTATTTAGAGCAATAGTTCTGGGGTTGTGTGTACGTACATATCTAACTGTGCACATATATGTTTGTGTATATATACACATAGACACACTTTTAAATAGTTCCTGATAACAGTAGATGTTGTCTAAGTGATAAGAAGATAAGGAACCAGCTGCTTTCTCTTGGTCTTATAATATTCAGGCACTGTTACTATTAAATGATTATGTAGTGATTTAAAGGAATAAAGCAGCGTATTTTGCTTTGCTTCTTAGGGAATGGTCAGAAATTACTGTGTAACTGTGCTTTAAAGTCCACAAAGCCCAAATGCTGGATAGCACCACTTGGAGCAAGTTTTCAGTAGCAGATGGAGTTTCCTCAGAAGTTTAGAAGTGCTCAAACCTCTGGCTGACCTTTGTGTTTTACTGGTCCTGTAAGAGAGATGTAAGAAGTACAGACGTCTTTTAATGCTCTGGCCTTGTAAAATTTAGTCATTTCTTACTAACTTGCTTTTACAGGATTATTTTTTTTGTTAGTATTGGCAGTATTAACGTTAATATAAATATTTTGTTCCTTTTTTTTTTTTTTTTTCCTGCCCCACAGAGCAGAATGGTATTGAAGAAACGCTTTCCGGACGATTGCCTTGGAGAGAGACACCTATTTTTATGCATCATTTATCGATCATGCAGCACAAGCAATTATTTAGTACATTCTATTTTTTCATAAAATTTGCTGATGCCAAAGCTTTGTATTAAGGAAGAAGTGAAGAAATAAAAAAAAACTTTAATTATGAAATCTTACTCTGTGAGAGTTTTATTTTTCTTGGCCTTACGGTGTTAGTCCTTAAGTCTGACAGCCTTTTATACATTTTATAAGGTACTTTATTTCCTTTGAATGATTTCATCTTTGCAGATCTGTATTCTTCTCCTTTTATTTTGGGACATGAGCTAAGAAGTGGAAGTCTCACGCAGTGCGGTTCTTATGATGCCACCCAGCACTGGAGTGATTAGCAGGAATATTGTTACCAATCGCTCCGTACCAACTGGTTAAGGAAAAAAGCTGGGCCAAGCGTTCTAGTGTATGATGGGCTTACCTTGACTCCAGCTGAGAATTAATTTGAAATACAAACATTTTTCTCTGTTTCTCCTCCTGTAATGCACCTGTGTCACACTGGGAGGACTGGAGTATGATTTTTGTCTTCAGGTCAGTCATTGCTGAAGGTTTGCAACGCTGTTTTCTGGACATACAACTCATAAACATTTTCTGTCTTTCACTTTCTCCCCACCCTTCTTTCTGATAAAAGTGAAGCTATTCTAAACCACCTCCTCCTTCCCGATACCAAGTAAAAAGGTAGCGTTTCCCCCCACTGCCATCTGTGAAGCCTCCTTTTGTATTAGTGACGGGGGTTAGTTTTTGTTCAAATTCAGATCGTCAAAGATTGATAATGGTCTGTACCGTAACGCAGAAACTCTGCAGACGTGCCCCTTCTTGCCGTGGCTTTTTTACTGGTGAGGAGGCAGAGGGAAAACGCCTCTCATCGCTGTCCTCGCTCGGGCTGTTCCACACAAGTTGACTTATGCAAGGAGCGCGTGAGTAATTTCACAACAGTCAGTTAAAACATGCGGATCTGATTCGCAGCCAAATGCTAATGCTTCAGTTAATGAGATGGGTAGATGAAGGTAACAAATGGGTAAGGAAAATATAATTGATAGAAGATAAAACCTATTCTGCATTTGGTTGTTTTTGTTGTTCTTGTAGACATTTGAAACTTAATGCTTTCTAATTTAATTAAATGAACAGAGAACCACTTTTACTGTAAGATTTAATTTTTTTATGTACTGGGAAATAGAGTATTTAATTTAATTTTATTTTTATGTATAGGCACTTTTAGAATTTAGGAATGCAGCCAGAGTCTACATTAAAATAGTTTCTTAATTCTTATCTGTCCAGCAGGCTTCAGCTGAGAAGGCAGCTTTTATAATAAGAAATGAAGTATGTGATAGCTTCAGTACATTTAATAGAATTATTTTTCAGTGTGTCCTTGTGAAATTTTGAAAGAAACATGAAAACAATCAATAGAGCAGTAAGTGCAATTTGAAAGACTGGAAAACCCCATTGGACTTACTCATGAAGCAGGAAAAAACCCTCAAACATACTGTGTCTGAGGACTGTCTCCTTGTGAAATACACCGTATGTCAACGGAGCATTGTTGCCAAAAATAGAGGAATGTGGTTAGAGCATGATTTGGGGTACAGGCTTTGAAACAAAAGGATGATGAGGTTTCTTTTCACCCATCTCTCAAGAGCAATAATAAAATGGATAAGTTTGTGCATGTCTCCTGAAACAAAAATCTTTAAGTGCTTTTTAACGCTGTCGGTAGGGGTGCGTGGGGACAGCCTGAGCGGCGTGGTGACCCAGACACAAAAGGCACCACAAACAGTTCCAGTTCATGTTTCTTCTGCAGAGCAGCAGCAGAAGTTGAGTGATATGGGGAACAAAATGGTTGACAGTCTTCTAGTGCATTTCCCTCCGTAGAGGACTTTAAATATCCCAGGGCCATCTTTTTTAATCTTTCTTTTGAGCCTCTAACAATTGTCTTGACAAAGTGTTGATAAAAATACAGACAGTATCTGCTAGGTGAGTTACAGGTCAGGCTAGCAACGTAGGTTTATCCTGTTAGTGATATAAATATATTCAAAGATGGACTCCGCACCATCCCAGAAACTGAATTTTTTTTTACTCTGGGTTGACAAAAGAAGGAAATTCCCGAAGTTTTTGTTGCCTGTCATGCTTTTAGATATCCACACATAAAAGATGAGTAACGTTACTCTCATACACATGATCGTAACAGTGAAAGAGGAAGACCTGGTCCCTCTTCCCAGATGTTGCAAAGATGGCAGGACTGGGCTGAGAGAAGGGGGAGTAGCGGTGCGTTGCTGAACAGCTGGCTTCGAGGAAAGGATGCTTTATAAATAATCCCGCTCTGTTCCTTAACCAAGAGGGTGTCTAAAACAGATTGTCTGAGATAGGGAGTGCTCCGATCGGATTTCCACATTAAGAAGCCCTCGTGCCGGTAGAGCTGGGGAGGGACTGCAGCTTGTGGTGGAAGGTGGCCCTGATTAATGACTGAGGGCATTAAAATGCTCTCAGATGGAAAGGGAGCACCAGGTGATGCTCCCGAAGCACCTGCAGTGCTACAGCAATGCTGTGCCTCTTGAATTTTTGGCCTTGTTGTGCCCACTTCTGTAGCATCCTGTGGTAGGTATGAAGAATTCCAGGGCAGTATGTTTCTTTTCAGACTCAATACAAGTTATCTGAAAAGTTCTTTGTAAGTATATAGTGAAGAATAGTGGCAGAGAGCACTGAAGGATTCATTTTCACGTATGAAAGCTGAATGCAGACTTCCCATTTGTTTCCATACCGAAGGGATCAACCTTGATCTTTCTTGGCAAGTGCAAAATAGCAAGAATGGATTCATAAGCTGAATTTGGAACTGTGGATGTTCCTACTTGTCCTTAAAATGCAATTATTCAGTAAATTTATCAGCTGAACAGATGCCACATTTTTAAACAAGCAGGAGCAACTTTCTGCCCGAAGATGAGTGTAGCCGGGTCGCTGTGCCCCGCCGACTCTGCTTCTGGGGCTCTAAACTGTGGGCAGTGATACGGAGCCGCTTATCAGAGCACCTGAAGATCGAGTGTTGAAAAGCGCCGGGCAGCAACTGGATTTTCAGCACTGGGTGGGCTACGCTGAGCAGTAGAGGAGAGAGACATTTAGGAAAAGAATGAACAAAGTGTCCCAAAAGCGGTATGAAAGCCAAGAGATTTGTATCTGTATGGAAACGTGCAGCCTGCCTGGAAGTGGTTGGCTTAAATGTCTTCTGCCAAGAAGCAAGAAAACATCACAGTAAAGAATTTTAGAGGTGTTGGATATATAATGCCTTTTTCCAGACGAATTTTAACAATTTGTTGTCAGAGGAGCTGTCTGCTTCTTGATTAAATCTCTTCCTTGGATCTGCTGGAGTGGAAGTCTGGGCGCACACAGAGGAAATGACTGCCTGGGCTGTCTGCTTCCTAATCCCTTGTTTGATTTTTGTGTAATAAAAACAAAAGCAACACCGAGCTTTTAGAGTCCCTGTAGTTTTGTTTCAGCATTGGCTGTTCTGTACGTAACATGTCAGCGGGTGTAGGAAAGGGGGATGAAACATCCAGTGTCCACAGCTTATTTCAACTGCAAGCCGAGGCTCAGTCGTCAAAAATTAAATGATCCTGACCCACAACACAAATTGCAGAAGAATTTTAAAATTGGTTTTATCTGGTATAATTTCAAAGTAGGTTCAGGGTTTTTTTTGTTCGAGAGAGAGTATGATCAGCTGGAAATCATAATTACAAGTTTATGTTCCCTGAAAAAATCAACATTTTTCTAATTTTTTTTTTTTAAACCTGTAGATTTGGGAGAGGGTTCATCAGGTTCAGAAACCTGTAAATTTGGGTGTTCATCCTCTATTGACTGCTTCTGCAAAGCACACTACTCTTCTTCTGAATAGGTGGGCATACGCTCCTGGCAGAATGAGCAATTAACTCCTATACGATGTAACTCCAATTTCACACTTGTTTCAGTTACCTCCAAGATCAAAAATAAAATTAGTTTGCTCATGAGAACTTCCCCATCTCCGGGCGAATGGTGGAGTGAGCCTGTGTAGTGGCTTTTGGTGATAAAAGAGAGGTTTTGGGGGTGGGGAAGTGGCAGCCGGTGCGGTTTGCTGCGGTCCCCCGGGGGGATCGGAGCCAGCGGGGCGCAGGGTGGCGGTGCGGCTGGGGCCGGGCTGCGCCGCCGCAGCGTGCGCGGGGGCTTTGCGCGGAGCCCACCCGCAGCATCCCCGGCTCTGCCAGCCAGTGTTGCTCCCGGGCCTTCGCTTTGATAAGTGCGAAATTTCTCTTCACTTTTGCTCTTTTGACAATTCCACGTATTTGATTATAATTCTAGTTTTAATCAAAAAAGGCAATTTCCTCTTTTTTTTTTTTTGTTTTCTTCTTTTCTGAATCTGTCTTTCGGGTGAGTGGGGAAGGAGAAAAGTTGTTTTGGACAGTGGCAGCTGAATTCTTCTTCCCTCGTATCTTTTGTAAGCTCTTTATTTTGAAATGTTTCACAGGCTGGACTCAAAATTTGGCAAGGAAAGGAGGATTTAAGCACCTAAATTCCACCAGGGCTAAAACTGCAGTCCCCTAAGCACCTTGCCCCACTGATGCCTGAAACTGGAGGCACCTTGGTTTGCCGCGTGCCTTCTTGATGAACTTGGAAGCTTTTCAGTTGCCTCCAATTTGGCTCATGTGGCTGCCTGGCGTATTGTAATCTTGCTCCCAGCTAATCCCCCCTGGGATCGAGAAACCGAGTAATGAAATGTTTTGGCCAAGGGCCTGATCTGATAGATGCTTTCAGAGAGAACCATTTGTACAGCGGCAGGGCTGGGCTCCTTGCAAAACACACCTGTGGCTTTGGAGAGCCATGGGAATGCCAGGTTCAACTCCCAATGAAGAAAAAAATGAACTTCCATTCGCCGGTCTATCAACAGCCACTTGGTGCTTGTTTCAGGTATCACCAATGCTGGAGAAAAAGGTTGGGTCTCCTTTGGTTCTGTGTGAGGAAATACGTAGGTGCCTATTTCTAGAAGGTGACTCTGGGTGGATGGAGGTTGCTGAGCTCTGGAGGAGGTCAGGCTCTCAGCAGCATCAGTCGGACAATCCTTGGTGACCTCCTCGCTCAGCCCACTTGTTCCTTTTGACCCCGTGCCGGAG